GGACACTGGATTTTATAGTTGCGAGCAGGTATTGTGCGGGAAGCCAGAAATATAATCATATTCTCCTTTTACGTTGACCTTGACCTTATATTTCGCCTGACATATAACACTTGTATCGGTGGAGTTACAGTGATTAAGTTTTCATTATTGATTTTCGAATGTGTTTTTCAGTTCCTAAGACAGATTTGTGAGTTTGAGCCAACTAGAAACTGCTACCGAGCTGAGAAGCAGAAGAAGTGATTGCTGAGACAAGAACTTTATTCGACAGCGTCGGTGAGTCAGATGGTCGGGCAATCGTCACACCAACACGGCTGATGAAACATCAGCTAGTAACGACTCGAACGCCAACCACTAAGCAATTTTCGCACTGTAGGGCAAGGCGTTAATTGTCAAAGGTATGCGGTAGCATAGCGACTAATTCATAAAAACACTGAAATTATCTGTGTATGAATTGCTCCTATCTGATGATCCGCCTGATAATGGGTGCGGGTACGAGTCTGGGACAGTAAGTGAATACAACTTTTGTCCCAGAAATTGCATGTTCTTCCTCTCGGTTGTTAAAATATGCCACTTCCCATCTTAAGTCTAACACATATCCATAGTCTAAAATCTCCAGTCTTTACACTTATCACAAATCTAGAGACAAACACTAAACTACAATATACACATCACAATTTAACCGAACTGCGCAAAAATAGGGTTGCTAGGGTCTCATTAAAGATTCATTTTAAGGGCAATTATCAGGATATATCATTATGAGCATTTTCTATGCCCATATTCTTAAGGTAGTAAGTTTGCCTCTCGACCTTCTAGTTTAACCTTATTAATGATGCCTAAGTACATTTTCTGCCACGTAAAAAAGTGAGTTTCGTCAAAGAATGTCTGGCCTTCTGTATGTTCGAACCTTCGCAGTCATTACCAATCCTAATTTGGGTTAGTGCCTGGGAAAAGTAGATCGCAGCATTTCGCACTACCCACTTTTAGGGTCAAACGGTTTTCCGTTTGCTATTTTGCGGACAGAATTTGGCACATTTGCTTAAAAGAAATCAAAAATGCCGAACATACCTCATAAACTGGTTTAAGGCCTCGACCAAATTAGAGGGTAAGGCCTATAAGTCCTAAAAAGGTCAGCTTGGCGCTTTGGCGCAGTCGTTAATCGGATACTTTATCCAATAAACGACCTGGAAGGCATTTCGAAATTGACTTGATTTACGACGTGTTGGATGTTTTCGGTGGCACCCAGCTAACAAAAATAAGCTCCATCTGTTTCTGTTTGGAAAAATAATGTTTCCCTTAATGTTTATTGCAGCGATACGAATTCATTTAAATATTACTTACTGAAGGGTTGTCTATATGTCCACTAGAGAGCACGCGAAAAGAGCTGATTAGGATTGCAGTAAGGGTCGAGGTTAGAATTAGGGTTAAGGTGAGGGTTCGAACTAGAGTTAATGTTAGAATTCGAACACAGGAATATCCGTCGCTTGTAATTTAGGCCGAGGTCACCTCTATTACGTAGGGGCGTTCCTTTTCCCGTTTTGTATTTCTTGAGGGGGGGGAGGGGGAACATGTAATCAATCACGACCTCAATTCAAACCAAACACATCCAATTTACGATGAAAGAGTAAGCCAACCAGTTAGCCTTCCAGGATGTCGTCGTTTGCCATAAAACCGCTGGTGGACTAGAAACTAAGGTGTTCAGGATAGCGACTAACACTATGCAAGTCCCAAACTTCAACAACAACCACACGATCAATCACAAACAAAGTTACGTAATAGCGCTACACCGGCGCGTTGAGACGCATTGCAGCGAAGTGGAAGACAAAGTTTCTGAGTTACAATATCCTCGACAGCTACTAAGAGCGAATGGATACCCGCGCAATTTTGTCAACCAGTGCATACGCAGACGATACAGGAAATCTCATCCAACCGGTACAACAGTTTGGTGAGCTTTTCCGTACGTGAAAAAGGCATCGGATGCAGTCAGCCGCCTGCTCACCCCACTTGGAGTTGGAGTTGCGCACAAATCAGAAGCAACCATCAGGCGCCGGGTCATGAGACCTAAAGACCCACTGTCACGACTGGAAACGGCTGGAGTCGTTTATTGGAACTGTTGCAGTTGCGAAAAAATCAACTATGTCGAAGAAATCGGGAGATTACTCAGGACGCGAATGGCCGAGCACGCAGCGGCGGTGAGAAATACGCTTACTACCAGGTTGCAGTTCACTCGACGGGACCTGGCCATATTTTCAAGTTTAACGAGGCAGAAATCCTCGCAAGAGGAGACAATCGTGTGAACCGCGAGCTGCTCGAGTCATGGTTCACAGGTCCACAGTCCATCAGCAAGCGCAAAGATTTGCCGTTCCCATACTCCGTACTCTGACATTGCCTGAGAAAGAGAATCAGTCACATTGGAAGGGCCAGGCCCAGAATCAACTATGACGACAGCGAACATAATTTTCACGCAATTAACAAGCCCGCACTCGGCACGGGCAACGAGATCGCGGCAATTAATGACTCGAAAGCGAAGTGTCAAGCCACCACCGCACCAATTTAGACCCCAAGCGATGGCTACAGAAGCGGATAATTATAATACGCATGCGGATGACCACTAAGAGTTATAAATACCGTGCAATCTGTGCACATATCGCCCTAGTCTGTGCATGACTCATACTATTTTACGGTTGCCTTAGATTAAGGAGTCTCGACAGAATCGGAAACGTCAGGAAAATAAAACTCTTGTGCCAGTGGTCGCATCTACTTCTTCTTGTGAACACCTAGGGTAATCAAATAACCAGGATCCAATCAAAGATTTCTGAGGCCAGCTTATTAAAAGGGAAGATATTGAGAAAAAATTTGCTCTATTGTACAACATAATTACCAGCGGCATCTATGAGCGCTCGCCACATGATAGGCTGCACCGCTATGCGATGCTGTAAAATGTCTTCCAAAACCACAACCCGAACTAGGAATATGAATATATTTGCTGCCCGGAAGCACGCTGCAAATTTTTTTTCAGGCCTTGTATTGGCCAACCATACTGTTTAAAATTCGGTTTCTAAAAAATTCATGATTTCGAAACGTTGATGAACCCTTCTATGATTGCCCTACTAAAACAAGCTTTATTAATGTCCTTCGCGGAGTATGAAACATGAGTAATATTAAGCTTAATAATGTATGTGGTGCAAGAGACCTTCTCTAATAGACATGTAAGACTAAATTAATTTTAATCTGGAAAGATGTGGAGAGATGTATTTTGGAAACTTGAAAATAATATGGGAATACGTACAGCTTTTCAAAATAGATTGGTGCTGGTTATCTTTTCAACTAAAAATTCTGAATCTGAAGAAAAAAATAGTTGCTTTTAATGACATTTAGAAAGCCTTCCTATGTAAAATGGTTTAGTGTATAAAAATCAACAAATGAACAATTTTTTCCAGTGGACTTTCTTAATGCATAGTGGAAAACGCCTGATTAAAAGCAAACATGACATTGCTTAGAAATATTCTAAGATTCTGTTGGTGACAAAAGCGCTTTGCATTATCGCATGCATAGAGCTTTCCATTTAAAAATCAAAGTGCAAATGTCTTGCCAAGTTTGAACTAGTTTGCGCGCATGAACTGGGAAGCCTACCAATGTTCCAAACTACTGTTGTAGGCTGTTTCAACTACCGGAGCTCCTACTAAAGGTTGTATCCGAAATATGCTAAGTTTGGTTAACTTCCGTCCGGAAGAAAATCCCAGCAACACAGCAATTGTACTTTCTGCTGGTCAAAGTGAGGGGGATGTCGTGCATTTGCGCGATGTTTGATTTGATACAGTTTGCACTGCCCAAATGCCAGTACAGATGTTCGACCTTTCTAGCTCTTCCTCTCAGAACGCTACATTTTAGACCACCTGGGTAGGGCAGCCCAAAGGCAGGTAGGAACGGAGCCCTGCCTACAAGACCATCAGGATCTGGCACGATCTCTTTTGACATTACATGTCACTTGCAACCTACGTGTGATTGACGATTTGAGGTTTTGAGGTTTTATAGCTTAACACTCACGAACCCCTGTTATTGGATGTAAAGAAGGGTAATTCCTGCTACCTCTACATCTCGTTAATGAAAGTGCACTGACCGCTAACGGAACTCATTTGTCTCGCTCTGCCTTGGGCCTCATTTCTGGGGTCCTCAGAGC